ATTTCAGAGGCAGTTGCCAGGGCAGAAAAGTATGGATTTGTATACTGCAGCGGTAAGCAGCTGGGAGGAGCTGGACAGATTCCAGCTACGACTGTGTCAACATCATGGTTGCTGCCAAAGTGCACTAAGCCACGGTAGCAAGGATTGTGTAGGGAGAAGTTGGGAAACATCACTCATATCAGATGACTATGCAGTGAGGACACCTCAGTGATGAGGTAGGAAGGAGACAAGGCCAAATCATATGGTATAATAAGCAATAAATAAGACATAAGACATGTGGATGTGTCCCCAATTTAGCAATCAACAATCAAATCAACAATGAAGCTAGTTTAAAATTCACTTGAAAAAAAATCATTTTGCTTTAGTGTCCTATTCTCACGCCTACTTACAGGGCTGTCTTAACAGCATTATGGGCCCCAGGCAAAGCAGTGTATGGGGGTCCTACGATGACAAGTCATAGGAATAAAAATGTAATTAGCCAATAAAATTAAACATATATTTGCATGTTAGTATTAATTAAAATGCAGTGAAATGTAATAAATATGTTGCTGAATTTATATGATACAAGGTGCATTGAAGGGTTAACATACAGATTAGTATGGGGGCCCTATGCTCGTGGGGCCTACGGGCATGTGCCCATCAGGTCCATGCGTTAAGACAGTCCTGCCTAGTTAGAAGAACCTTTCATAACCTCACAGTATGCTACAATATTTAATACATGCATTGCTTTAAGTATGATAAAGAGTGGTGCAGTGGCCTAGAGGTGGAGCTATTGCCTCACAATCAGGAGACTGTGAGTTTGATCCTAGCTAGAGGCAGAAATTTCTCTCTCTCTTGGCACAATGAGAATATATCTACTGCGAACTCTGCATTGGTGACAGGAAGGGCATCCGGCCAATAAACACTCAGTTGCATTCAGTTGCCCCAATTCCACCCCAATACAAGGGATTATGGGCTCATTAAAAGACCAAAAAAAATTGCTTTAGATATGGTAAGAACAATAAACTGTTCATGTTTTAACTCTATTTTGTCATACACTTATTTGGGACTACCATATACGATTGATGCTAACAGTATTTGGAGTAAGTGGCAGAATGACCTCAGGATCTTTGTGGTATTCTTCGGCTTGGTGGGATTAATTCCTAGACTTTGGCTACACAGCAGAAATAACTACATTAGTCATAAACGGGTTGTAGGAGTGACAAGAAAACAATTCATTTGAATGGGTTTTAGACTGCTAAATCAGAATAAATTTGACTGATTGCAATTACTTCTCCTTTGTGCCAGTTCTTGCCAGAATTTCTTTTGGAAAAGTCAGAGCTGGCAACAGGAGAATACATGGAGTCATCACTTAATAACTGTAATTGGAACCAGAAACTCCTTCAATAAACTACACAGTTATTAAGTGAAACATCACAAGGCCATGATGTACGTTCAGCTGCAGTTGTTAAGCAAAACACAATAGACTGTGAAGCACTAAGTATGATCACAACTTGCAAATTACTGCCAGCTTCCCCATTGATTTTTCTTGCATTCAGCTATCAGTGAAGCTTACAAATCTTGTGAGTGTGTGGACATCATAAATGCATGCAGATTACAAAGTGCTGAGATGGTGATCACACACGCTGTGGGATACCGGGATGGGTGCAGGTTTGAGGACCAGTTGTAAACCTACTTTTCATTTGCATCATAACTTTGGTCTCTGGATGAGCAGTTGGTAATCAAGAACTGCCATCTGTCAGAAATGGTGTAGGGCAGGGGTGTCCAACCTTGGCAACTTTAAGACTTGTGGACTTCAACTCCCAGAATTCCTCAGCCAACTGGCTGAGGAATTCTGGGAGTTGAAG